CCTGCCAGCTCCCCCTGGACTGCACACCTGCAGTTAAGACTGCTGGGACCTGTAAGCACAGGGGGACAGAGCCATACCTGCCAACTCCAAGAAGACTATGGGCAGTGAGGCCCTAATGGGCTTCCCTAGGCAGGCAAACTGGACGCCAGTTGCTACTACATGTTTCTGCAGGAGAGTGTACCATGTGGTCCCAAGGAGGTCATGGGAAGCTAGTACACTGGTTCCTTTAGACTCTGCCTGGGCCTCTTCCTATGATCCAGTCTCATTAAGGTACAGAAATAAACCCCAACCATAGGGCAGCTACAGGCCAAGTAGCTATAGGCCTTGGAGCCTCTCTTATGACTCTGAACATGGGGTGGTCTTGTGGACACCTATATGCAATCCCTGTTTGCATAAATAATTTTGACAATTAATTATGTGCTGCCTTGCAATGAAATATGAACATTCAATGTTTAAATGCTGAACAAAAAGTTTAAAAAATAAGGGGCTGGGGTTATGGCTCAGCAGTAGAATGCTTGCCTCACTTGTGCAAGATCCTGGGTTCAATCCCCTGTACCACATAAAAATAGATAAGTGAAATAAACCTTTATTGGACAACTAAAAAATATTTTTAAAAAATTTTAAAAAATAAAAGCCAGCTACACATGTCACTTTTTTTTAGTTGTAGATGGACAAAATAACTTTATTTCATTTATTTATTTATTTTTATGTGGTGCTGAGGATTGAACCCAGTGCCTCACACAGTCTAAGTGAGTGCTCTACCACTGAGCCACAACCCCAGCCCAACATCTTCTTAACCAAGTGTCACAGTTTGCATCTGGAATGTCCCCCAAAGTCTTGTGATGAAAGCATGGTCTCCAATGCAGCAAGTTTCAGAGGTGGGGCTTTGAGGCTGTAAGGGATCATGATGGTTCTGACCTCACCAGTGGATTAATCCATTGGCAGCTGTGTGGATGATTGGAAAGTGGGGACTGATTGGAGGAAGCAGATCTCTGGGGGCATGCCCTGAAATGGTTCACCTTCTCCCCAATCCCACCCTCATCTCTCTGCTTCCAAACTGCCATAAGCAGAGCTGCTTTCCTCTGACACAACCTTCTACCATGATGTTCTACCTCACATCAGACTCAGAGCAATGGAGCCAGCCAACCATGGACTGAAATTCTGAGGCCCTGAGACAAAATCAGTCTTTCCAGGGCTGGGGCTGTGGCTCACTAGTAGAGTGCTTGCCTAAGAAAGGTGCAAGAAAGGTTCCAGATAGAGGAGAGTGCAGGTGTTCTCTGAACTTGACCAAAGGGTGTAACGTTTTCTTCCAAGGGCTCTCCAGTGTGACAGCATATTACTCATTTGTCTATTTTCTTCTTTCCCTGCAAACTTATGGCAGCCCCATTTCAACATTTCTCAGTATTTGTGGACTTGCAACATTTATTCTCTGTGTCTGAACTTCCTGTTGTGCTTTGCTAGCTATCCACAGATTCTTAGTCCTTGCTGCAGGAGCTGTCTATGCTGTCTTGTGTGAAATGTTCTGGGACTCCAGCCTACATAGTTCTCACCCTTTTCTGAGGTCCCATCCCAGACTAGGTCCTAATGTTGTAATATTTTTTTATTTGGTTGGTTCCTGTTTTGTTTTGTTTTTTTGCTTTTTGTGTGTTTTTTTGCATTTGTAGATGCAAAGGCCTGCAATTTTGTTTCTCTGCTTCAGTTATGAAATGCACAGTGTCCATTTAGTCTATGCCCACAAGCATTATTTTAATACAGAGGTAAAAGCTAGGGTGTGCAGCACAGTATCTGGAGAATACTTGACCTGGTGCCCACCCACATACTTGCACTCTCCACTACCTGGAACCTTTCTTGGGTAGGTGCAAGCATGGTCCACATGTAGAGACATGGACGTTCTGGGGACTTACAATGTCACAGCAGTCCTGAACCAGAGGTGGGAAGTAAAGGGGAAAGGCTGGGCTTCCCAGTTCCCCAAGGGACAAAGGTGAAGGTACAGCAACAGTGTCTGGGGGCTCTCAGAGGAACCAAGCTCTGCTGCCCACCTTTTATTGGCACTGCCCCTCCCTTCTCATATCCCCAGTCTCCTGGTGCACTGGAGGAGACCCCTTCTCCAGTAAATTCTTACAATCAGATACACATTTCAGGATCTTCTTTTGGGAGAACCTAAGCCAATGTCAAACAAAAGACAACGAATAAGGTTTAACTGTTCAGTGTGTGTGGTATGCTTTTTCAAAATCAAGCACAATGGTATTATTGAAGATAACTTATGAAAATTCAGAATCCGATCCATCTAACATTTTGAGAACTTCAGCAATGAGACATTTAGGTGGAAGTTGAGGGCCGGGTGTGGTGGCGCCCACCTGTAATCCCAGAGGCTTGGAAGGCGGAGGCAGGAGGATCGCAAGTCCAAAGCCAGCCTCAGCAATTTGGAAGGTGCTAAGCAACTCAGTGAGAACCCTGTCTCTAATAAAATAGGGCTGGGAATGTAGCTCAGTGGTTGAGTGCCCCTAAGTGCAATCCCTGGTACCCCCCAACCAAAAAAAATTTAAGTGGGAGTTGAGGAGGGAAGACTTTCAAAAGATATTTTTCTCCCAAAGAGCAGAACATTTAAAAATGATAGCTAAAGCAGGAAAATTGAAAGTTCAAGGCCAGCCTGGGCAAAGTAGCAAGACCTGTCTAAAAATGAAAATTTAAAAGGGCTAGCAACACAGCTCAGTGGTACAGCACCCCTAGTTCCAGTTCTCAGTACTGTAAATATATAAAGATAAATAAAAGTAAAAACAACAATAAGGAAGAATGGGAGGAAGAGATTCTCCTTACACTCCATGGTCTAATCCAGAGAAAACACAAACAGGACCTATTTGAAGAGGCAATGTCTGGGACGGGTGGTGGCTCCATTTTTTAGTGATTCTGAACAGAGGGCTTCACAAGCTGCTCCAATATTGAAGGGAAAATTAAAATGCTGGAATGCACAAGCAGGTTATCTTTGACCACAGGGGAAAGAAGGACAGATCACACACACCAAAGGAGAGCAGATCACACAACAAGTATGAGCCCTGGATTCCAAGGCAGGGAATAACATCAGGACTATGAGGAAGAAGACACGTTTAATCCTAAACTGCAAACCAAGAAGCCACATCTGACTGGGATTTTTCTGAGTAGCTGTCGTCAACTGCTCCAAATCACCACACAGATATAGGGATTTTGAAAAGAGCAGATTTCAAAGGTTCCAGACCAATACTACTCGCTGAGGCTGGACTTCTACTTCCGCCCACCTCCAGGTTCTCTCACACTCACCTGCAGAGTCTGAACGTGGAGTGTCTCCATCTCCCACCCATGGCTCTTCGCCTTGCTCCAACTTGAAGATGACATCTGGCTTCATAACTTCATAGCCTGTTGGGGGGAAATCAACAAGGGCATGGTTCTGGCTCCTGGGCTTCAGGGCCTCTAAGGAAGCAGCAGGGCTTAAGAGGGGGTCTTCATCTCAACAGACAATTCTCAGGAGTCATGACAACAGCTGCCCCTGTGGTGAACAGGTCTAAGGATCTTTGACTGCTCCATTCGGCACTGTCTCTGGAGCCACACCACAGGGTTCAACTCCAGGCTCTTTGGCCTTCTTGCTCTCAGTCACTGGGACAGTTACTTTACTTCTCTTTGCCTCAATTTTCTTCTCAGGAAAAAAGGGTACCTACCACGCAGGACTGCTCCACTGCCTAAACTGGTGGACTCCCTCCTGCGATGCACCTGGGGTGTGCAGTAATGCAGCACAGCACACGGCAGACACCCACCACTGTCACCACTACTCATCAGTTAGGTTTCTGACAACAAACTTAAGGTTTCATTATTGGGAAGGTGGGATCCAGATACTTTCTTGCCAACATAATCCAAGACTTTTATTTCCTAAATTCTGGTCCAAAATCATTAAAAAATTCAGAAGCATTAAGCAACTTTATTTAAAAAGAGAAAAGCAATGCATTGGACATACTCTGAGGTCCCTGAGGAATCTTTTCTTACCCAGTGACACTAGGACGTGGTAGTTCTCCAGCATGACATCCTTGTACAAGGCCTTCTGATGGGGACCCAGTAACAGCCATTCCTTTTGGCTAAAGGCCACACATAGATCTTCAAAGGAGAATGATTCCTGGAAGAGCACAATCCCAGTGAGCCGGAGGTGGTCATCACTGCCTGATCCTGGAGAGGTGTACCCGGCTCGACACACTGCTCTCACAACTACACGTCACACAGACACCTACTACGTCCCTCTGGGTTTTTTTCTTTTTTCTGGAGGGGACAGGTGGACAGGAGTGATACCTAAGATTACAGTCAGAGTTTGTGCACTCCAGGCAACTGCTCTACCACCAAGCTACATCCCCTGCTTCTTCATTATTTTATTTTGAGACAGGGTCTTGCTAAGCTACTGAGGCTGGCTTTGAATTCACAATCCTCCTGCCTCGACCTCCCAGAACTGCTGGGATTACAGGTGAGCACCACCATGCCCAGCTCAGTGTTCAAGATTTTAAAGGGAAAGTTCTAATTGATATTAGAAAATATTGGATGGATCCAGAAGGTGAAATGAAACGAGGAAATAAAAGCAATTCTTTAAATCCCAGCAATGGAGCCAGCTGAAGGGACAGATTCCTGACACTGATGATGCAGTAAGAAAATGTTAAATCTGTGCCATCTGCACGGTTCTGGTTGTTTTAATCTGTCTTTTTACATTGGCTTTTGTTTTCTAAATGTTGTTTTCCAAGCTATTGTATATTTATTTGGATTGCAGAACAAATGGTAAGATAAATCCTTTCTTTTTAATGTGATTAGAAATGTTCTAAATGAAGCTAATTGTCAATTTTATTAAGGAAGATTGCTTTGTGCCCACCACCTGGTGTAAAATAAAATCAAGCAATTACAAAAAAAAATAAGATAAAATAAAAAATAACACACGTCTTACTGCTGACAGTTAGCCATGAAAGACTTTACAGAAAGGAAGATAACACGTCCAAAGGCAGGTTTTCAAAAGATGACTGAACAAGATGAATTCTTGTCCTAGTCTCCTGAGATCAAAGAAAAACACAAATCTTAAAAATGAAGAATGCCATCATTAAGAAAAAAATTTTTTTAAACCCAAGAAGTGTGTCACCAAATGCACACTGTTCACCTTGAGAGTGTCAGTGAATCTGAAGACTAATCAACAAAACCATCCACTCTGAATAAAGATGGAGAAAGACTTAAAACTGACAGAGGAGCTGGGTTGTGGCTCAGTGGTAGAGTACTTGCCTAGCATGTGTGAGGCACTTGATTTGACTCTCAGCACCACATATAAATAAAAATGAATTTTAAAAAAAAGCTCCATCAATATCTAAAAACAATTAAAAAAAAAAAAAAAACCTGACAGAGCTTGCCAGGTATTTTGGTGCACACCTGTGATCCCAGATACTGGGGGCTAAGACAGGAGAATCAAAAGTTCAAGGCCAGCCTGGACAACTCAGCTAGACCCTGTCTCAAAAGAGAGAGAGAGAGAGAGAGAGAGAGATTGAGATTGATTGATTGATTGATTGTTGATGCAGCTCAGTGTAGAGGGCCTTAGGGTTCAATCCCAAGTAGAGTCGACCCCTAAATTTACAGAGCTTGGGAAGCAAGATGAGTGGCACAATATCCCAGAACAGAAAACAGCACCACAGATAAGAATTTCCAGAGATGACAGCCAAATGCTCCCTAAAACCAGCAAAAGGTATAAGCCTAGACTGAAGCAGTTCAGTAGACCCCAAAATAGACAAATACAAACAAATTCATGAAATAAAAATATGGCATCATTCATAGGGAACAGCAATTCAAGTAGCTGAAAGTTTCTATTAGAAAGCTGAAGCCAGAAGGGAGTGGAATATTTCTTGTTTCAAGGAGTGGTGATGGGGTGGGAGTACAGGGGCTTGAATCCAAGGACAGTTAACCACTAAGCCATATCCCCAACTCTTTTTATTTTGAGACAAAGTCTTGCTAAGTTGCTGAAGCTGGCTTTGAACTTGTGATCCTCCTACCTCAGCCTCCTGAGTTGCTAGGATCAGAACAACTCAGCAGAGAGTGAAATGTTTCCAAATGCAAAAAGGAGAGACCTGTAAACACAGAATTCTGTTTCTAGCTTGAATATTCATCAGGGGGCTGGGGATACAGCTCAGTTGGTAGACAGCTTGCCCCACATGCACAAGGCCCTGAGTTCAATCCCCAGCACCACAAAATATATATATTCATCAAGAATAATGATGAAACAACTTTTCTTATGAAAGAAAGCTAAGATAATTCAAACCCAACAAACCTGTTCTACAAGAATTACCAGTGGGAGGTTCTCAAAGAGAAGGGAAATGGTACTAGAGTGACTTAGAAAAACAACAACCATGGTAGAGATCTGGGCAAACACAAGCCAATGTTCTCTCAGGTTCATCGGTGTTCACATGATGACTGATGGCAAAACTTCACATTGTCTGACAGAGGTGTTAATATACACAGATGCAGTATGTAAAGCATCTTATAAGAAAGAAAGGAAAGGGCACTAAATGATGGCACTCTACAATCCCACTTGAGCGTAAAATGAAATTTAAAACATTTAAATGTCAGAAAACACAAGTTCAAGCAATTTAGTGAGACACTTCTTATAGAGAATCAGATGTGACTGCGTTACTATTACTGTCCTTGATGGAGTCTACCTGCAAACGGGATATTCTGTCAAGGTATAGATAGGTAACAGCGGACATGCTTGAAAACGAGGTGTCTACTGTCCTTGGGAGGACTTGCCTGCAAACGGGATGTTCTGCCAAGTGGGCTAGGAGGGCGCTAAGAAAAATTTTATTATCTGTTCTTAACAAGAGCAGAGTTCGGCATGCTCCAGGCCGAGAATAGATTAGCCATGAGAAGCGGGTCACTTCTGACTAGAAAGTAAAACTTCTGTATGCTATGTTTAATTAGCTGAAAGACCTGATTTATTGCTGTTGGAAGGCTGCCTTCTTTGTTCACAATACTATAAAAAGATTGCTTGTATACAATAAAGGGCTTTTTTTGCTGCTGCTGCTTTGCTTGCTCTGCTTCTTCTTTCTTTCTCATGCTGACCTGCAAGTGAATTACTGCAACAACTTCTGAAGATTCTTAAAAAATATTTTTTTAAAGGGCTAAGGGTACTGGTCAATGGTAAAGTGCCTGAGTTCAACTGCCAGTACCCTCTTCCCCCACAAAAAAACAGATATGACAAAACACAGCCTGTGGTGGGGTCAGGGTACAGATTTCTGATAAAAATCTTGACCAGACAACTCTTATAATGAATAATAAAAAGACAACCCAATTAAAATAGAGGCAGAATATCTGAATATAATTCATCAAAAAGATACAGGAAGGCTGGGGTTGTGACTCAGCCATAGAGTGCTTGCCTCACACAGGTGAGGCCCTGGGTGTGATCCTCAGCAGCACCACATAAAAATAAATAAATAAAAAATAAAGATATTTTTAAAAAAAGGTATAGGAATACCTACTAAACACACAAAGGATCATTAGCCATGAAGGAAATACAAAGCAAAACCCTAGTAAGACACCACTTCACATTCCCTAAATGGTGATAATCAAGACATCCCATGAAGGACAGGATGTGGAGAAACTGCAACCATGCTCTGGCAGGAGTGTGAGCTGACCCAGACACGAGGAACCACAGCTGCTTCCTACAAGGTAAATATGATTCTGCTGCACAATTCACAGTGCCACTCTTGGTTATGGACAAAGAGAAACAAGAGCACATGTGGACACTGAAGCCTGCCCGTGGCTTTTCATTTCAGCACGCTCACAACAAGAAGAGAAAGCAACACAAATACCCACCAACTACTGAATGGATAAAGCAATATAAGGAACTACAATCTGTCAACTAAAAGATGAATTTCTAACATGCTTACATGGATGAACCACAAAAGCATTAAGCTAATTAAGACACCAGACACAAAGACTACATATTACATAAATCCATTGACATGAAATGCCCTAAAAAGGCAAATCGACAGAGTAAGCAAATTAGCAGCTGCCTTAGGCTGTGAGGAAGAGTGGAAACTGCCACAAATGTCACTCAGAATTTTCTTTGGTGATGGAAATCTTCTAGAACTGAACTGTAACAATGGTTATACAATGAAAATTTACTTAAAACTCACTCGACTGTACATCAAAGTAAGGAGATGTTTTTGAGATCATATATAAGCAAAACTGTTAAAAAGATATTATGGGGCTGGGGTTGTGGCTCAGTAATGGAGTGCTCACCTAGCATGTGTGAGGCACTGGGTTCGATCCTCCACACCACATAAAAAATAAATAAACAAAGGCATGTGTCCATCTACAACTAAAAAAAAAAAAAAATTCACCAAAAAAAACCCCTGAATCATGAATAAATTTATGTAAACTTATTAGACAACCTAGATGAAGTAGCTGTACTTCCCAAGAAACAACATACCCAAAATGACACATAAAGAAACAAAATCTGAATTAATCCTATAATTGTTAAAGAATTGACCCCACAATTTAGAACCCTCCTTCAAAGTAAACTCAAGATCTAGGTGGCTTCCATGGTGAATTCTTCCATTCTTGCAAACATTTAAAGGATAAATAAAATGGTCTCAAATTTTTTCAGAGAACACAGAAAGAGAGCAAACTTCACAATCACTTTACAAGGCCAGCAGACCCTTGCTCTCGAACCCAATGAAGATGTAAGAAAGAGGCTAATTGGGAGAGGGTACAGGCAAATCCTCATTGGGATAGGAATATTTTATTCCTGGACCTGAGAGGTGATTTCATGCATAACCACTTGATAATAATTCATTAAATAGTTTTACATTTATATACATTTCATATGAATTGGGCTTTACAATATAAAAGGGCAAATGAACTAATAGTTATGGTTGGCTGAGGATGTAGCTATGGCAGAGTGCATCCCAGCATGCACAGGCCCTGGGCGGATCTCCAGCACTTATAGTCATCACTCACTAAGTCCCACTTTGGCATTCTGACCTCCAATCACACTCTGAGGAATACTATGAAAAATACCCCTCATCTGTGGATTTTAGGCTGGAGATGTAGCTCTGCAATAGAGTATGTGCCTAACGTGAAAGGCCTGGGTTTAACTCACAGTCCCTCAGAATAAAGCAAAGCACCCACGTGCATTTACTACACTGTTTCTATTAAGAACATTACCCATGATATTATTTATTTAAATTCTTCATCAAGGAAAAAGAAAAAAAAAAAAACCTAATGGTCAAGAAATACTTTCTATGATCAGTTTGCTTTTTCCTTTGAATAGTGCAACTTATATCAACATTCACATATCATTATAACTGTCAAAAACTTGAGAGCCAAGAAGGCAGGGATGCCCTCTTTTATGACTTCTATTCAACAAAGCTCTTGAAACTCTAGCCAGAGCAATTAGACAGATATTAAAGGGATACAAATAGAAAAAGAAGAACTCAAACTATCATTATTTGCTGGAGAGATGATTCTATACTTAGAGGACCCAAAAAACTCCACCAGAAACTTCTAGAATTAATAAATGAATTCAGCAAAGTAGCAGGAAATAAAATCAATACCCATAAATCAAATGTATTTCTATACATCAGTGATTAATCCTCCGAAAGAGAAATTAGGAAAACTACCCCATTCACAATAGCCTCAAACATAAAATAAAATAAAATACTTGGAAATCAACTTAAGAAAAGAGGTGAAAGACTTCTACAATCAAAACCACAGAATACTAAAGAAAGAAATTGAAGAAGACCTTAGAAGATGAAAATATCTCCTATGCCCTTGGATAGGCAAAATTCATATTGTCAAAACAGAGCCAGGAGTGGTGGCGCACACCTGTAATCCCAGTGGCTTGGGAGGTTGAGAGAGAAGGATTGCATATTCAAAGCCAGCATCAGCAACAGTGAGGCGCTAAGCAACCCAGTGAGACCATGTCTCTAATAAAATACAAAAAAAAAATGGCCATAATATTCAAAGCGCTATACAGATTCAATGCAATCCCAATTAAAATCCCAATGTCATTTCTTATAGAAACAAATGAAGCAATCATGAAATTCATTTAGAAAAATAAGAGACTCAGAATAACCAATGTACTCCTTGGCAAGAGTGAAGCAGGAGGCATCACAATACCAGACCTTAAACTATACTACAGAGCTATAGAAACAAAAAGGCATGGTATTGGCAGCAAAATAGACCTGTATATCAATGGTACAGAATAGAAGACACAGAGATAAACCCACATAAATACAGTTATCTCATACTACAAAAAGGAGCCAAAAACATACATTGGAGAAAAGATAGCCTCTTCAACAAATGGTAGTGGGAAAACTAGAAATCTATATGCAGCAAAAATGAAACTAAATGCCTATTTCTCACCATACACAAAACTCAACTCAAAGTGGATCAAGGACCTAAGAATTAGACCAGAGACCCTGCAACTAATAGAGGAAAAAATAGGCCCAAATATTCATCATGTCAAATTAGGCTGCGACGTCCTTAATAAGATCCCTAAAACGCAAGAAATAAAATCAAGAATTAATAAATGGGATGGATTCAAACTAAAAAGCTTCTTCTCAGCAAAAGAAACAATCAATGAGGTGAAGAGAGAGCCTACATTTTGGGAACAAATTTTTACCACTTGCACATCAGATAGAACTCTAAGCTCTAGAATGTATGAAGAACTCAAAAACTTAACACCAAAAAAAAACAAACAACCCTATCAACAAATGGGCCAAGGAACTGAATAGACACTTCTCAGAAGAAGATATACAATCAATCAACAAATATATGAAAAAATGTTCATCATCTCTAGCAATTAGAGAAACGCAAATCAAAACTATTCTAAGATTTCATCTCACTCCAGTCAGAATGGCAGCTATTAAGAATACAAACAACAATAAGTGTTGGCAAGGATGTGGGGAAAAAGGCACACTCATATATTGCTGGTGGGATTGCAAATTGGTGCAACCAATATGAAAAGCAGTATGGAGATTCCTTGGAAAGCTGGAAATGGAACCACAATTTGACCCAGCTATCCCACTCCTTGGTCTATACCCAAAGGACTTAAAATCAGCATACTATAGTAAAACAGCCACATCAATGTTTATAGCAGCACAATTAACAATAGCTAAGCTGTGGGACCAACCTAGATGCCCTTTAGCAGATGAATGGATAAAGAAAATGTGATATATACACACAATTAAATATTACTCAGCATTAAAAGATAATAAAATTATGGCATTTTCAGGTAAATGGTCAGAGTTGGAGAATATCATGGTAAGTGAAGTAAGTCAATCCCCCCAAAAAAACAAAAGCCAAACGTTCTCTCTGATAAGTGGATGCTGATCCATAATGAGGTGGGGCATGGGAAAAATGGAATAAATATGATTGTGTAAAGGGGAGGGAAGGGTGGGGAGGAGGCATGGGGGCAGGAAAGATGGTGGAACAAGACAAACCCTAGGTACATGTATGTCTGCACATGTGGTGTGACACTACATCTTGTATAACCAGAGAAATGAAAAGTTGTGCTACAATTGTATACCAAAATGAATCAAAATGCATTCTGCTGTCATATATACCTAATTAAAATAAATAAAAAGTATTTAAAAATGTGAGAGCCAATTTTGCAGTTCAAACATAATAATCAAATGGGACACTATAGCTTATAAATATTAAAACCTTAAGACCTTCTGAAGGCACCGGTCCAATTTTACCCCAATCCCAAGCTTCTATTCTGAGACTATTTCCCTCCTGATTTCTTCACTACTCATACTTTTCTTTTTTATGGAAGACTTGTATACCTCTTCTAACCCCCTGGAAAAATAATGAGGAATGAACCATCAACTCACCTGTAGTGTGGTCATTTTCTGTTGCCTGTGCAAGAGGATTCACAAGTGTGAGATCTGTTCTGCTCTTGTCTCTTCTGCCTCTGCCCCAAAATCTGGGGTAAGGTCTTGGCAAGATCTTCTACACTGTGAGTGATCTCTAGCTGCAGGAACTCCTCCCTTAGTTCACATGAGCAGGCTTAATGGCGGGGATCCAGGATCTGTGGACGCAGAGACAAATGCACTTCAACTGGGATGTTCACCAAATGCATTCTTTTTAGTTAGTCTATGTCATACTTTGCACAAATATTTTCTTCCTCTTTTAGAAACTAGGAATGTATGACATGTAAACCCAGGTGTGTTTGCTATATAGTTTAAATAAGCTTCACAGGAACACAAGCAGCACATAGTAAAATACATCACAAGTCTGTGTCTCCACAAACAGACACAAGTATCATAATTAAAATAATTCTGAATTTAATTTAAAATTCACTGTGGACACCAATGTGCAAGTCACTTTTAAAAATCCTTTAAAGCAAAAAAGATAACTCTGTTTTAGGCAGATAAAAAATTTCAAAGCTTATGTGATTTAAATTAAAACAGATCTCAGTCTTTTATTTTTTAAACGATTAGTTGTAGATGGACACAATACCTTTATTTTATTTATTTATGTGGTGCTGAGGATCAAACACAGTGCCCCACACATGCAAGGCAAGCACTCTACCACTGAGCCACAACCTCAGCCCCCAGATCTCAGTCTTAATCAACTCCTTCCCTTTATTGGCTACCTGAGTTTTACAAAAGTGAACTTTACCTGAGCCATAGTGTCCCTTAAAATCCTCCATGTTCTTCCTGCATTCCTTTATTTTGTCTATAGCTGATTATCAGTTTCTGAAGGAAACGTGTTACAGTCTCCAGCTCCTGTGGTTCTGTTGAGGTCTGCACAGAGGCCACATGCTTCTGGAGGACACTCCAAAGCCCAGATGCTTTCTGCCTTACCATTCACCTCTCTGGTGGCATCAGTACTCCTTTGTGAGTTTCTGTCATTCTTCATGCAATTACATTTAAAATTTCAGCATTGTTTATCCCAACAGCTCAGAGCTCAGACCTATTATATGATCCAAATAACCTTTTTCCTGATAAATTCAACACACATTTATTATGGTTCTTACACTTACTATTCCTTCATTTTTTTTTTTCCTTTCTTGCCTTCTGAGCTTAACTGGTAAGGATAAAGCAGACATAGACTGACAAATGAGAGGTAAGATGAAGACAAGGGGACCTTGTAACAGTAACAACTAACACACTGGTGCTTCCTACACATAAGACAATACGCAGGACAGTTTTCAATTTTCATGGACAGTCCTGTAAGGAATTTAATATAGTCCCCATTTTATATAAAACAAAATGACAGTGGATGTGGCTCAGTGGTAAAGTGCCCTGGGGTTCAATCCCCAGTAACAAATTTGAAAAAAAAAAAGGAGAATTACAATGTCTTCTCTCCTTTCAATTGTGTTCAAGGTATTTACCACTAATATCATCACATCATTTGTCATTTGTGTATATTTATGTAGTTATGTATACACACATACACCATAAATTCTGGAATTAGCTCTTCTTTCCATGCACACATTCTGTCACTTATTCCCATAAAAACTCAAATGAAGAACAAACTGCATCACTCCTAAATCATCTTAAAAAACCAACCTCTTGGGGCTGGGGCTGTATCTCAGTGGCAGAGTACTTGCTAGTACCTGTGAGACACTGGATTCAATTCTCAGCACCACATAAAAATAAACAAATAAAATAAATGTATGCTGTCCCTCTGCAACTACAAAAGTAAAAATAAAAAATGTTACCAGACTTTAAAAAAAAAAAAAAGAACCAACATCTTGCCTATAATCCCAGTGGCTCAGAAGAGTGAGGCAGGAGGGTAATAAGTTCAAAGCCAGCCTCAGCAATTTAGCAAGGCCATGAGAAACTTATGAGACACTGTCTCAAAAGAAAAAATATGGGGGGCTGGGGTTGTGACTCAGAAGTAGAGTGCTTGCCTAGCATGTGTGAGGCACTGGATTCAATTCTCAGTACCACATATAAGTAAATAAATAAATAAATATCCATCAATAATAAAAATTTAAAAAAAAAATGAGCTGGGGATGTAGGTCAGTAGTTAATTGCCCCTGGATTCAATCCCTGGTAGACAAACAGCAACAAAAACAAACAAAAGGGCTGGGGTTGTGGCTCCATGGTAGATCAATTGCCTGACATGTGTGAGGCACTGGGTTCAATTCTCAAAAATCCATATGCAACAAAATGAAATTAAACCCCTATCTATCACCATACACAAAATTCAATTCAAAGTGGATCAAGGACCTAGGAATTAAACCAGAGGCACTGTGCCTATCAGAAGAAAAAATAGACCCTAATATCCATCATGTGGAATTAGGCCCTAACTTCTTTAATAAGACTCCTATAGCAGAAGAATTAAAAATCAAAAATCAATAAATGGGATGGATTCAAATTAAAAAGCTTCTCAGCAAAAGAAACTATCAATGAGGTGAAGAGAGAGCCTACATTTTGGGAGCAAATTTTTACCACTTGCACATCAGATAGAACTCTAAGCTCTAGAATATATAAAGAACTCAAAAAGCTAAATACCAAGAAAACAAATAGCCCAATCAACAAATGGGCCAAGGAACTGAATAGACACTTCTCAGAAGAAGATATACAATCAATCAACAAATATATGAAAAAATGTTCATCATCTCTAGCAATTAGAGAAACGCAAATCAAAACTATTCTAAGATTTCATCTCACTCCAGTCAGGATGGCAGCTATTAAGAATACAAACAACAATAAGTGTTGGCAAGGATGTGGGGAAAAAGGCACACTCATATATTGCTGGTGGGACTGCAAATTGGTGCAATCAATATGAAAAGCAGTATGGAGATTCCTTGGAAAGCTGGGAATGGAACCACGATTTGACCCAGCTATCCCACTCCTTGGTCTATACCCAAAGGACTTAAAATCAGCATACTATAGTAAAACAGCCACATCAATGTTTATAGCAGCACAATTAACAATAGCTAAGCTGTGGGACCAACCTAGATGCCCTTTAGCAGATGAATGGATAAAGAAAATGTGGTATATATACACAATGGAACATTACTCAGCAATAAAAGAGAATAAAATCATGGCATTTGCAGGTATATGGATGGAGTTGGAGAATATAATAATAAGTGAATTTAGCCAATTCCAAAAAACCAAATGCTGAATATTTTCTCTGATATAAGGAAGCTAATTCATAATGAGGTTGGGAGCGGGAGCATGGGAAGATTAGACGAACTCTAGATAGGGAAAAGGGGTGGGAGAGGAAGGGAAGGCAAGGGGGTAAAAAAGATGGTGGAATGAGATGGACATCATTACCATAAGTACATACATGAAGGCATGAATGGTGTGAATATACTCTGTATACAACCAGAGATATGAAAAATTGTGCTCTATATGTGTAATATGAATTGTAATACACTCTGCTGTCATACATATTAGAATAAAAATAAAAATAAAATAAGTATATAAAACAAAGGTCCATTGACAACTAAAAAAAATTAAAAAAAAAAAAAGCTCTTCATTTACATATCTTTTTGTGACCCAAATTTCAGTGCCACCTCAGGAGGACAGATTTCTCTCAGTTATAGAAGCAACTTATTTATATCCTAAACTGTGATAACACATGCATTTGAGACCAGCAACTAGCAGTTACCATTAAACAAATATTAGCAGTAACTACTGTTGCAAAAGTAAAATTATGACAACATTTTTAAATGTATACAAGAAAAACATTACAAGTAACTCCTATTGCTAATCTAGCCACTATTATTTTATTTTATTTTATTATTTACTTTTATTTATTTATTTATTTATTTAGGTGGTGGTACCAGAGACTGAACCCAGGGGTGTTCTACCTCTGAACTAATTTTGAGACTGTGTCTCACTAAGTTGCTGAAGCTAACCTCAAACTTGGAATCCTCCTGCCTCAGCTGCCCCACCCCCGCCCCAGTAGCTGGAATTACAGACATCTGTGACCACACTGGCTACAGATAACATTCTTAAGAGATTGAGGAAGCTAGGGATATAGCTTGGTGGTAGAGGGCTTGCCTAACATGTGAGAGGCCCTGGGTTCAATCTCCAGTATCATCAAAAAAAGAAGAAAGGAAGGAAGGAAGGGGGAGGGAAGAAGAGGGGAAAGGGAGGGGGAAGAAGAAGAAGAAGAGGAAGGAAGAACAGGAGGAGGAGAAGGGGGAGGAAACAACCTAGCAGGTCATTGTGGTTTACATCTATAATCCCAGCTACTTGAGAAGCTAAGAAAGGAAGATCATAAATTCAAAGCCAGCCTGGGCAACTTGGTAAGACCATGTCTCAAATAGAATAAAAAGTGCCAAGATGTAGACCAGTGGCACAGTGCTAATGCACAAAGTCCCAGATTCAATCCCAGGTATAAAAATAAGTAAAATCTCTGAGCAATTAGGAAATTATAGCCCGCACATGTGCACACACACACACACAGATATACCATGAACCAAGAAGATACTCCACAAGAAACCTAATTTTCTTTGCATTATGCTTTCACTTAGTTTCACAGAATAAAATTATGACAATGTAAACAATAAATCTCTTTATCATTCAAATCATTTTCTTCGCAGATGGCTGAATTCACAGTGTAATTTCAACTTCCTTTATAAGCTTGTAAAAGTCTACTTGGTGAGGGTTAGTCAGATTTCACTGAGAATTTGTCAAAAGGAGAGATACGTGAAAATGAGTTAGATTTCATGCGGAGAATATCAAAGATTGAGAATTTCAGGTGAAAGGGATGTGATAAGCAATCTGGGTAGTTTTAAAATATTTCTAAAACTAGGTGTGGTCACACACACCTGTAACCCCAGCTACTCAGGAGGCTGAAGCAAGAGGATCACAAGTTGAGGCAGCCTGGACAACTCAACAATATGCTGTCTCAAAATAACAAATAAAAAGATTCAACACATGAGGCTCTGGGTTCAATCCTCCCAGTGGGGGGGCGGGGGGAGTCTGATATTTGTTACTCTGTAGACTCTAGACCTGCCTTTACTCAGTGAAACAAAAATTTACAATGTTGGACCTTGAAGGAGGAGTTATCCCTGAACTAACTCTCTGATAGTCAGTCCTCACTTACCCCCTCAGCAAAAGAAGTCTAAGCCCCTCACTGCAGAATGTGGCTCATTTTAATTTCATTGGCTTCATTTTTTCACCGTGGCAGTTTCCTGCGAACAATACATTGCTCCCTGTGATAGCAGCTCTCACGTGCATCTTTGAAAGGGAGGGGCAACTTGCATTTTCATCCTACAGTTCCAGGCTTCTTCGAATTCTAAGAGAATATCCAAGAAAGGCAGAGAAGAAAAAGTAACTTACTTGCCATGCACCAGATGATTTTTCCCCACAAAACCCAGTGTAGAAAACCCAGTACAGAGAACAGCAAGGAGACAGGCACTTTGAATCCCAGAGATTTGGGAGTCAGCAGACTGAGGCAGGAGGATCCATTGCAAGTTTGACACCAGCCTCATCGACTTGGGAAACCCTATTTCAAAGCAAAAAAGGACCTGGATACCGGGATGTAGCTCAGTGGTAGAGGACGCCTAGGTTCAATCTCTGGTGAGAGAGAGAGAAAGAGAGTGAGTGTGTGTGTGTGTGTGTGTGTGTGTGTGTGTGTGTAACAAAGAGGTTCACCTCTTTCCCAACATGTACCACGATGCCAGGAAGCCTCACACCTGGGCCCTGGACCTATGCAGTTCTGTTCAGAGCCTGTGATCACCCACCACAAGACAGAGGGGTGGAGTAGGCAAAGGCCTTCTCTGCTCTGTCTACACTCAGGGCACAGGGCAACACAGTCCCATATGCAGAACTGGTATCTCCGCTACAGACTAGGAACAAAAGCAAGAGAAACAGACAAGTCATCAGGAGCCTGATGAGAACTCCCGGAGTAAGTTTAAATTCCCCACTTTGAACAAAAAATTTTAAGGAAAGATAGCAATGATATGCCGTTATGACTTAAAGCAGCATGTTCTCAATCTTGTTTTTTTTTTTTTTTTTTTAAGTAAATATAAAAAAGTAAGACGCATTAAAAAGCGTACCTACGTTTGCTGACTATAAAGGCACCAAGGCGACTACCTTCGGTCATGTATCAGGAATAACGCTCTTTTTAATGTTTA